GCTCCTGTCTTTTCCTAAGGCTTTCAAACACAAAGTAAACACTGCTTGAATTTGTAAATTCTCCGGAATGGGAGTCTTAAAGTGCTGAGGTCAGTGGCAGCCTATCATAGCCGGACATCATTTTTCGCATTTGTCATTTTTTTATTTCCTCTTTTTCTCCCTCGTCCCTCCACCCGTTTCTTCGAGCCCTGGTCAAGTGAAATTCAAGTCCAATACCTCAGCTCTGTTCACGGCAGTCATGGGGACGACACGAGTGCATTTCTCGCTGATCTCATTAAATTGGCGCGTTCTCAGTATCGTAATTTATGAACGCAATTAGGCGATGTAAGCATGCTGTTGCTGCTTATATCTATGCATAATAGGATCGTTCTCTAACAACTCACTAGGGCATCATAGCTAATGGGCCAACTAATTAGGTTTCCACTGACTCCATCAATGCCCCCTTCTCCCGCCCTTCTTCCTTCTCCGGTCGCTTGCCTTCTTTCCTTTCAAGCTCTTTCATACAAAACGTAATAAGTTCATTTGGAGAAAGGAGAGAAGAAAGTCAATTACTGCCTTAAAAGCTCCATCTTGTCTAATTAGTCCCAAACTTACTCCTTCCTCTGCTCCATTTCCACTTTCCATTTAGAATTCACGCCGGACAACTTGAACAGTACACCGTTGTTTCAATGATCACAGGCTCCAAGACGAAACCGCTATGTGTTTGTTGTTTCCAAAAAAAATGGAATGCTTTCGCAAAGACACTGTACAGCTATTTTTGTTCTTCAAATTTATAATCTGCTACTGGTTAACCGAGGAGTGCCTAGAAGGCTCGACTTTCTAGGTTAATTTACTGAAGCTAAATGATCAGGTTAGCTCTAACATGAAGCCATATTTGATATTCAGTTTTCGCGCGCAACTTGGACATTGCAACGAACTGAAGCTCTGCTGTGAGGATATAAGCCAAAAGAAAATCGAACTCCGCATCTTTAAAAAGCTTTTCCTTCCAATCGTAAAGTTTTATCCACTACACTCCGGTTTACGCGTTCTACGTCAAGAAATTTGCGCATTTAAAGCCTGCGAGTATGGTAGCCACTCCAACACACATTCCCTTATAAAAACACAAAATCGCGGTTTTTTTTTAAGTGCGCTCTTTGCGCACAAATAAAAAAGTCCAAAAAGTAACATGGTATTGCTCCCCTCTCTGGTCGCCTCTTTCCGTCTCCTGGTTATGACTTCCCCAGAGGGAAAACAGCTCACAAATATGCCATTTCTTTCAAGCTG